GGAGGCAGTATGACCTCTGAAACGTTGGTTAACATCGACCAGACTACACAGCGCAACAACCCAGAAGACGGAAATCTTCATACTCACCGCTGTGAGAACCTCAAGTCTTACATATTATCCTACATAACTACGGTGTAACAAGATAATACTTCGTGTTGTTAACACGAAGTTAATATCTCGTTATGTTGGGAGGTTCTAAGAAAGACAATATTAATGTTATGGCCAGAGTGGGGTTAACTGAAGATTATGGAATATTCACATGAAGTATGTGGGGAGCACAGATTCGAGTAATCCCCTCTCCAGTCTGACCAAAATGCTTTAAGTAGGCAGTGGATGAACGTCAGTGAAAATGACAGCTGTGGAACTAAACACGTAATATCCTAATTTTCATAGATGATCTAAAGTCATAGATGACTTCTTTCCCACTGTGCATATATAAATTTTATTATTATTATTATTTATTTACTGCAATTGGGTTTGCACCCGGTGGCAGTGGTCCTTACACTACACAATTACAACAAAATACATATAATATAAACAAGTACACTAATATAAACAAGTACACTATATAAACAAGTACATTTTGAGGTAATTATATCACTGCATAAGACCAATCACTGTCTTATTTGATGAAAAATGGCATTCAGGATTGCATCTCTCCCACGCAAAATTCCTTATAATTTGCCAGTGGCAAGCACTCTATGCAGAATATTATAAACGGATAAATTAGAATGAAATAGGAGTAATACTAGAATCCCCCCCCACCATATCCCCCAAATTTCCCCTTGAACAATTTGGACCAATCCCCGAAAAGGGGCCCATGGGATATAGTCCGTTCTTCCAGCAAAAATCCTTTGGGTACAGTAAACTACAACATTCATTAAAGAGAATATGTTGTAAGGAGGGGGAAATATTACCCCTTCAACCCCTCGAAAATGGTAGCCACCCTGAAATATCCCTTCCACCAGATATGTTTGCAATAGACCAATGGAGGCGTCGGGACGCTATATGACGTCAAAGACGCCCTCTACGTCAGTAGACATGGATCAATAATTTCAGTTGGGAGGTTTTTGGTCGGAAAAGGGGAAATGTTACAGAGACTAACGTGAAGAGAGTTGCTTTTACGCGTTTATTTAAACGTTACAATTTACAAGAAAGTGATAATAAGGGCTCTGAATGAAATCCTGAGACCGGTGGGCAGTTTCTGGTGGAGCAGAGCGACGGAGGAGGTGACTGTGCCCCAGTGCAGTGGAACACTTGACTTCGAACGCTGGCAGCTGGATAAGGTAAGCGCAACGTACTACTTTCTGCAGCGAACTTGTCGCTTCTTATTTAACGACACTGTGAAAAATTCTGACATACGACGTGCAATTACATGTAAATAATTAATCCGGAAAAATAGGTCAGAAAATATTCTGGAGGAATAAGAAAAATCTCAATAATGATAGACGTTTCTCTGATTGAGTTTTAAACCAAGTGCTTTTAGAATATAAATTACGAAAAATATGTCTGTACCTCTACTACTAATGTACCTGATAAAATAATGAGTGACCTATAAATAAAACTCTGTATTGTAGTATTTACCTCTATATATCCACTGACAATTTATAAAAAATACAGTTAGTTGTCAGATCAGCTCCCCCCCTCCGAAAACTCACAGAGACTAATTTTTTTAGGCGTGCTGAAATTAATTTTATGTTATTTAATAAAAGTCTAATAAGGTATATTTTATCTAGAATAAACGCAGAGAAAGTTCATGTCTCGTGACCAGATTGTAGGACAAAATAATTATATAAAGGCGCTAATAAACGCCTTGAAAATGTGAAAACAGTTTAATATTTTAGAACGACGTAAGACGTAAAATTTTATTTTCGATACAGATTAAATTCGGGAAATTGTAACTACCATTTAGTTCAGAATTCTTTTTTAGCTACCAAAAACATAGTTTTTAATGAATGTGAAAATGGTGTCTCTTACGTTAATGGAAGAACATAGACCGAGGGTGTCTTAAAACAGGGTGTTAAGGAGGATTTGACTCTAAGAAGGATGAAGTGACAGCAGATCGGACAAAATAGCATAACGAGTAGGGCTATAATTTCTACTCGTAAAATATTATTACGATGATAAATATCAAGAAATAAAAGATGGATGGGCATGTAGAACGCATGTGTGCAATAAGAAACAAAAACAACAAGAAATAACAAAATTTTGGTAGGAAAAACTGAAGGGAAGAGACCTCTCGAAAGATCTAGGCTTAGATTGTAGGATAATATTAAAATAAAACAAAATATGTTGAGAAAGTTTAGATTGGATTAATCTGGTTCAGGATAGGGACTGGTGGCGGGCTCTTGTGAACAAGGTAATAAGGATTCGGGCTTCATAAAATGCAGGAGATTTATTGAATAGTTTAGATACTATTAGCTTGTGAAGGACTCTGCTTAAAAGAGTTTGTTACTTGTAATACAGTATACATTTTTACAAGTCTTTCAGTTTCTACCATAGATTCTGCTATGGTACATTACAATCCATATTTATTATATTGTTTTTCATCTTAAAATAGCAGACGAGTAGAAAAAAGAATCAATAAATAAATACATATTATATCCCCTGACCAACATTAATATAATCTTTGTGCAGGGGCTGGATTTTTAAATATTATTTGGCAAGCTTCATGCTTCATACGTCTCCAAAGTACTGCAGTACATTGTTAAAATTTTATTCCAAATTATTTTACTAAATATAGGCCTCATAATCAAGACGTTAAGGAATTACACAAATATCTGTAATCGGTTCTACTAATTTGCAATACAAATTTTCAGAACCACTGTGAACAGAAACAGTGCAACACTTCTCAATAAGTATTCCACAATCAGTTGTATTTTTATTTTATTCTAAATTTATTACAGCAAATTAAACATATTACCATTTGCGGTTGCTTGCTCGTTTGTTACCTACTTCTAGATAATTCTCACTAAAAAACTGTAGAAACAAATGCTTAAAAATTTTGCATTTAATAAAAACGTTATTTTCCAAATATATGTCTGCGATGTATGTCCGGTGGAAAAAGTAAAAGTTAGACTGTAGTGTTAAAAAATTTGCCAGAAAAGTCGCCATGTACGATGTTAACTATACAGAGTGATTCTAAAAGGACTTTACAATTTTGAAAGTGTATAGAAATTTATTCAGAAGGCTTACAGAATCGGTTGAGGTGTCATTTTGTAGCAAACCAAATCAAGTTTTACCTCAAACAGTCATTTTGGTTCGATGTGATTGCCATTGGTGATACTGCAGACATCCCACCTGGAATAAATTTCTTGCCAAACACGATCCAGCATATCCGATGTCTCTTCTGCAACTGCGGCGGTGATTCTGAGCGCAGTGAGATTGGCAGGTAAGGGTGGAACATACACACGACCTTTAATGAAACCCCATAAGAAAAAATCGAGAGGTGTCAAATCTGGAGAACGAAGTGGCCATGCTAACGGTCATGTTCGACCAATCAACCGACCTGAGTTTGACAATAGCCTTGATTTGAATATTAGGCAGGAGTAATTATGTACGACTCAATTACCTAACAGCCAGACTAATAACGGCTAATTAATTAGGTAACTAACTGATTAAATAATTAACTGACAGACCAACTAATTAATACACTAGTTAATCAATTAACAAATGTACTGACTGAATAAGTATTTAAATAACGCCAACTAAATACTCAGAGCAAAGTCTTTTATGAAAAGCTAATTGTCGCTCAGTTAGTCAAGAGTTTCTTCGCCTTTTATGGAAACAAAAGGTTCCTTTCCTTGTCCGCCAGATTTCGCCACCGGCCCCTCTCCTAAGCCATATAAATCCAATCCTACATACTCCCTTGCTGCCTCATTAATGTCACCTTCTGACTGAGTGACAAGCTTTCTCATTATCTCTCTAATTAAACGACTAACTTATCTAATGAGTAACTGATTGACTTTACAGTCTCACTAGATAACCAATTATGTTACTCACTGACAAGTCAACTGGCACGATGGTACCGTCTTCTTTGAGCGGCAAGTGGTTCTTGAACCTAAAAGAAAATTCCTGAAATTTTCGTCACACTCATAAAGAACCTGCCATTACATGTCAACATAAAAATCAGTTCAACCTGACTTTAAAACTTTAAAACTCAAAATTTATGATTTCCAAGAGATGTTTCTCATGAGCTCTCCGTTCAAAAATTTTGAACGTATCTCTTGATTAAACCCTGCGTGCAACACACCCCGCCTATTTGAATCCTATGGATTTAATCAATGTGAAAATTTGTGCTTGAAGAATTGAAGCTTTCACACGAGGTGTGGATGAATGCGATAAACTGTGCTATGCAGGCACAGGCCTCGCTAATTTTTATGTGATTCACTGGTTCACAATTCATTCTGAGGAACAAATAATAAAATTGCTCGGAATGCATTTCCTCAGTTCCTTCATCTATTTCCTTATCAAGACATAGGACATCTATGTGAAGCAAATACTGTCAAATCTACCAGTTTTAACCTTGCTAATAAAGACAGCTTCTATCCTTGCACACCCTTACATGATTACCCTCAGGCTACCCTTTGACGGTAACATCTCACAACGAATAATGAATGAATTCAGCGAGGGGGGAGAGGGGACTGGAGGGAAAACTGTATAATGAGGAACTTCATAATTAATACCCTTCAGAAAATATTATTACGACAATAAAATGAATCAGGATGAGCTGGACGGGGTCACAGGGGTCACACGAAGGGAACTTGAGATACCTATGGTCAGATGTCAGGATAATACACAATAGAGCTTAGAACAAAATATGAGGATTTGGACTGAATTCTTTGTCTCAGTATAGGAACCAGTGGAGGATTCTTGCAAACAAGATAATAAACCTTCGGATTTCATAAAAGCCGATTATTTTCTGACTAACTGAGCCACCATCACGCGTAGCTTATGAAGAAGGATTTGTCTTCTTTGGTCTAGTAATATACTGCATTAATCAACATTAGGAGTTGTTAAGAGGCACACAGTCGGAGGTTGTTAACGAATTTAATAGAAAACAGATATGTTACACCGTACAAAGATATGGGATACTTCCCTTGTATTTCATTAGCTACACTTCAAATTAAAACGTCGACACATAAATGTGTTAATTAGGTGTTGGCCTGTATTGTATAATTTACCATTTTCTTCATACGATGAACAATCTCTTAGATCTTAATGAAATAATGAAGACTGATGCAAGTTTCATATGACGCTGAGGTTCATAACGAAGAGACGCCAACGAAAATAAAATTAGAGCAGACACCACATAAAAAATTCAACCTAAACATATCTCATGGTTTGCAGGTATAATACGATAAAAAATAGACACGGTCTACTTGTTAAGCGTTGATTTTATACAATTTGTAGGAAAAATTCATAAGAACATTGAATTCATTATCATCTCGTATCATAGTTCCTTCCAGAACATAAGCTTATTCACACACTGCTTAATCTGAGATCTTTTAATCTTGTGCTGCTGTAACATTTACTGAACCAAGAACGAAAGAACAGGATTCCCCATTTTGAATATATTAAACATCTGAATGTATTACAACCCGGGAAGTTTTTGCCCGAATTGCAATTCTTGGAATGAAATCTCTCATCTGTTTAACGACTGAGGTAGGCTACCATAAACCATCGATTACAGGCAGAAATACTGGAACGACGAGTCTAATATTTGTGGGGTGTTGAGGAATTCAGTACGATACACAATGAAAGATTATTTATAACTTAGTTTGTAGGATCTGAAGTGCTAGTTCTGTATTCCGTCTTCGATTTCTGTTTGGGAAAGAAATCTAGGAGGTTGTGATGAGCTGGGTATGTGACTATTATAGAGGAGACAAGAAGTGGATGCTGAATTTTGGTCGGGAATCTAATATTCGCTCAGCTGACCATTACTCATTATTGTATAAGATTTGAGGTTCTCATGGCTTTCAAACTGTCAATGTTGATCTTCTGGGTTGAAACGACGTATGGACTTATAGGCAGATACCAAAGTTTTTGAGGAACATATTGCCTCCATCTTCAAAACTATTGTTTACATGGGGTTACTACCCAGGAGACTAATATTAACGGTGATAACCGTATTCATAAGAGTTCATCGCTGGTCCAAATTTGTGACAGACGAATCTAGGACACAGCCCTACGAAAATTTTTAATATTATCATCCATCTACGCCTAGGTCTCCCAAGTGATCTCTTCCCTTTCCGGTTTATCTACTAAAATCTGGTGCTTTAAATAAGGATGTTCAAGCGTCTGAAGCCTAGTGGTAACTATATGTCCCACCTTCTTCATAAACCAATAAATCTGCATTTTGTATCGATTTTATAGAATTGCCAGTGAAAATGACAATTATTTCCTTAAACGTTAGCCAGCTGGTCTTTGTAATGGTGAAGAGTTGTGTTTCCTTTGCGGTACGGACTAAATTGAATATTATTTAGACAAACTCCTGCTTCAAGGGGTTAAAGAAGTGAAACTGATCGTGTTCCTCTTTGCCGAACAGGTCTGCAGTCTGAACCAGTAGCAAGACACAACCACCAACCGCGCTGTGTGAACCGTCCTGAAGTGTGTGCACCGGTTGGATGAGGCGACTGATCGTCCATGTGTGGCCTAGCGTTTAGAACACGAAATAGCCCCTCGCAAAAAACTTCCCTCCGCTGGGGCGACTGCTGTAACAACTACCCTTCCTCCCATTATTATACCCTTCACCTCCTAACTACAGGGTACCCTACAACTGACTACATCCGCGATGTGTAGCAACACAGCACACCTACTGCCCCACTGGTTCCTTTACGCTTTATTTCCAAAGATATAATTAATCGTATTACCTAAAACAAGCAACATAAATGTGTTATCCTTAATATTGTCTTAAAAGAGCACTTACGTAAAGCAAATATAGAATTCACTGCCTGCCTGATTACAAGGAAACATACTGGAAGAAAACTGTTACTGGTGACTGTATACATAAATATATTCTGTTAGAGGATTCGGTAAGGATATCTAAAAGACATTCAGGAGCACGAAACTGGTATCTATAGTAAGACACATCATCATTTGAACTCGACATGAATATCCTCGTAGTGAAATAGTTGGTAGGACAGAGAAGTGTGACGATTTATCATAATCCACATCATCAACGAATTCCAAATAGAAATAGACCCAGTGACTGCAGTGTATAAAATACTCATTACAGAAAGTAGAAAATATACATATTTTTGTGATAGTAGATATAAATGTATTTTTGTCCCAGTTAGTTTACAATTTGTGGTTAATTTGGAACATGTGAAATTTAGGAACAGATGGAAGTTATTTTTAGTTTCAACAATCCTCGAAGTAAATACCTAACAGTATTTAATTAATTGCCAAAGTAAGAGCAACGCATTCTACGAAACCTCCAGCCACGTGGACCTGCTCTTCAGATATTTGTCTCCGTACGTAAAAGGTATGTAAGTGGCTTGATGTTATGTTAACATAGAAACTAAAATGTTTAATTTTTATTTTGTTTCTTGGTTCATTTAACATTTCCTCGTCTGTACGTTTTATAAGTTGTTGACTTGAGCTGATTAATTTATAATTTAATAACTCCATTATAATTGCAACGACCTTTCTTAAAAAAGAAATATACTTAGAGATATAATGTAATGTTACAGTCATTGAATACATAGTATTAGAAATCTGTCAGACAAAAAGCCTTAGTCTTTAACGATATTGATGGGTTATGAGTGGCTGCATAGGACGAGATCCTTGTGCCACGACCACAGTAAGTTTTTCGCTCAAGTTAACTTGAGAGTGACGAAAACATCGGTAGATTATAGCCTACCTACATTAATTATATACGTTTTTATTTATGTTCTAACACTTTGTTAAAAATATTTGCGCTGGTGTCAGCCATTGCTGACACGTGTCAACACGCAGAACAATTT